GGCATTCCCTGGTATCATGGCTTTGCATTACCGTGACAAAGTGCGGTACACACTTGCGGAAGAGCGAGGAAGTGGGTCAATGGGCCAAGCGCGGCTACAATCCGAGCTTCTCTGTATCGAACTGCATCCGCATCTGCACGCGAGCGAGAGGGTGCTGGGCTTTTCGATGTGCATCCCAGCGGATGACATACAGAGTTGTCACGAGAGAAAAATCGCGAGCATTTAGTGTATTTATAAACAGCGAAGACCGAGCGAAAATTTTTTCGCAAGAAAACAACACGCGCCCAATAAAATTATGCAAAAGCGGCTACCATTTTCATATTTCATGCGCGGACTCTTTATTCCGCAAATAAATCCTTTAACCGATAATCATAATCTCCACATCCTGCATCGAATATGGCGATGTTTCGAGATTAAGGATTATTTATCATTTAATCGGTAATTTTAATTTTTCACACTAGGAGAAGTTTAATCCGTTATTCCTGTTTAATCTCCTTTATTCAATGAAATTTTAAATCTTTAATATTTTTTGTCTCTAAATTAAAATTGTCGCGACTCCTGGACAAAAGCGATAACGGGCTTGATTTCAACTCATTAAAAATCATGGATTAATGCTATTCCGGCGGATAAAAGCTGAAAATGCGCTATGCATGAGAACTTTTATGCAAAATGTTGCATATACTGCGGAATAATGTAAACTTTTATTATCCTGGATTTAGACAATATTACAATATATGCATCACAACAAGCGGAAATGGAGCGCCTTGTTTTTGCTATTTTTTTATTATTATTAAGTGCATGGAAATAGCACTTTTATGCGTCTTTGGATGGAAATAAAACTTACTTATTGTTTGCAAGAGTACATATCAATGGAAACTCTACATTGTATCGCAAACTTGCACAAATGTAGAATACAGATCTATCAAAAATTTATGTTCGTTCCGTTCGTTCAATTTTAGCTGCCTATACTTAGGATCGTCCGTCTGTGCTTGATTGATTTTTACTTATTGCTCATAAATTTTTATCGCTTATGAGTCGTAACAGTATTTTCGTGCTGTACTTTTCTGGAAAATTTTTGAAAGTCTTTTATTTGAAGCATTTATTTAACACGGTCTTATTGAGGGATAAAAATAACCTTTTTAGGTGTCGTTTTAAGTATTTTTGAAAAATTTTCTTACACATATGTTCGTTAATTAAAAGTTATTGTCTTCATAATAAAGAAATTGCCTAGAAAGCAATCGGAATACTTTTTCAGCGTTTTCTCCCGATTGTTTCGAACGAGAGCGGATATAGCTCTTTCATTAGATTTGTTGCGGTCGTCACACGAACATTGATCGATACGCGAATAAAAAAATAACGCATGGGACGTTTTTGCTGTAAAATGGATACTGTTTATATTTTCGAACGAATATCCGATTGAAAAGTGGGAGAATCGAAGATACGGGACTGTGTATGAAACTTACTGCTGGAATGATGGAACCGGTCATTCAACTGGTAAACTTTTCTCAAGAGGTCATGGAACTCATTTATTTATAGTATTTTAATCATTATGTTGCAAATTGTGAGAAAATGTCGATTTCTCGCATAATCCACGTGTACTATTTGGAAAACTGTTCCTACCTTCTTTTTCTATCCGGAATAATAGTTTTCTGAGTACAGGCATCTATAAAGTATGGAAACTTTTCGCATTAAAATGATGTATGGCGCATTCATGTCGCCGACAGTAATGATAATATTATGCATTTGACGAGATCGCATGTGCAAATTAAATATTGCATAGATAAAAAAATAAGTTTATATTAAATTATTTAAACATATTAAAATTATTAAAATTATTATACAGGGTATCTATCTATTCTCTGGAAAAACAAGAAAATCTGGTATTTTTACGGATTTTTTTTATGCCTGGAGAAATCATGAAATTCTTATGGAATTTTGAATGGAGGAATTTTAAAAAAATTTTTTGATAATTTTGCTCTTGTACTAGCTGACAATCCGATTCCAAGTTTTGAATTATGAATTATTCAATTATGTGTGCTTAAAATATATTATAAATATATATCTATCTTATACATTCAAGATCGTAGAAAAGAAAATATTAAATATGCAATATATATTTTTTATGTTAATTTTTAGAGATAAAAAATGAAAAGTTAAAAATTCTTATCTTAACGAAAATATTCATTTTTTAATATATTTGCAATCTTTACGAAATTTAAATGGCTCTGTATTTTTTCCTTCCATATGAATGAAAAATACAACAAAATTATTTTAGAAAATTGTATCAAAAAATTTTTTTAAATATTCCTATTATTTGGAATTTTGAACAAAGACATCTGGAAATCAGGGAACTTTCAGGAAATTTTTTTATAAATTTGCAAAAAAGAAAAAGAGATTTACAAGATTGAGTAGATACTTTATAATACATGTTTTATGTATGTCTTTTTTGCACATTACTCTTATTTATTAAGAACGATTTCATATGATTTTATAGAGACTCTAAATTTAATTTAAAAAAAGAAAAAAAAAATTTTTTAAATACTTCACGCGTGCCGAAGGAGCATTAAGAAAAATGAGATATTACGAAAATTATATAGATGTTTAAAATCGTTCATTAAATTCCGGCGCAATAATCGTGTTTACGTCATGCTTCGATTCGAGCCAGTGTCAATGAATATCGATACTTTCACCATGAATCCAACAACAGGAAGCGTGAACACGTGCACACGTGCGTCCACACACAGGTGAACCACGTTTCCCGAAGCAGCACATGCGGTCATTTCGCATGCGTGCATAATCCTTACGTTTCGAAAGCAACAATCAGTCGAATATGACTGCAAAAAAAAGAAAAATACGTAAAGAAGAATGCATAGACATGTGTAACAGCAGATGTCACTTGTCATTGTATCGAGAATTAAATTTATTTTACGCCAGTAATGTTCAGTATTAAGATATGTTGACATTAAGATATGTTGATATGTTGACTGATGATGTTTGGGATTTAAATTACAAATGTGTATATGTGCAATAATTATTCTTTGACCTTAAAAGTCAAGTGAAAAATTCATAAATTATAGGAAGAGAATCGATATATGAGAATTAGAATAAACTATATAGATTAAAGGAATATATTTCCTGTTATATTTTAAAGTTCCACGTCGAAATTTCGTATGTATAAGTTGTTTTATTCTATTCGGCTCTTTATTGGAACGGGAATTGAAACTCTGGAGTACGATTTGATTTTTCCGTTTTTCGATACGCGCAGTTTGCCGAGACAATACATCAATGTATGTTACACAATTTCTGTGAAATAATTAAATACCTACGAACGCGAATAAACTGTAAAGAGAATTCAAATTACTATATTTTTTATTCAATTAATTAATTGATATGACTGTGGTACGCACGATTTATTTCTATATTTCGCTTGATAAAATTGATTTTATCTTTTTATTTGAGCTTCAATTATCGTCCAATGTTTTAGCAATGATTGATTTATTTGTTGTTAATAAACTATATCATATTGATGATGACAAATCCACATAATTCGACTTTGCTATTCTATGTTGTGTTGAGCAGCAAAGTCGAATAATGCTGTTCATGTTCCTTTTAAGGTCGACTTCTCACATGATTTGTATGCGAATATTATTTTTAAGTGATGAGCATATATTGAATTCATCAAGTCTAATCGACAAGTCAGTTGATATCGTCAGTCGAATCATTATACTGAATTGTTCTGTTTTCATGCATTGTAGAGACAATGAATAATTATATATATTCAGTCAACTTTATTTTATTTTCTTGTATCAAAAAATTAAATACGATAATAATCAAATAATAATCAAAGATTGAAGATATTATATCGCGCAAATAACTAATAATCTGATTTTTCGCGATTATTCATAATTTTAATTTTAAATGTTTTATTTTCTTATGATTCTTACAATCTAAATTGAGAAAACATTTGATCAAGAAAGTATTTTCACAAATTGAAAGGGTAATTTACCTAAGGAAGAAGTATACGAGGACTCTTTACAAGTCTTGTCACTTGCCATTTGTTATGAGATACCGTCTCTCTCTTCTATAAAACTCCGTGCGAAGCTTCGCAATCTTTATCAAAATAGAAAGCTCTTAACGAACTTTTGACCGAAAACAGCTGTGTTTCAATTCTTCAGTGACAATGGATGATTCCTCTACGCGGCTACAAATATTATTTTCTTCTTTCCGAACGAAAGAAATATTCCGGAGAGTAGCTTTACCGTTGGACGTTCCAATTTCGAGAATCTATCGCAAATTATGAGATACGCGCCGTCTCGTTATGATCATCTTGTCCTGCAATTGTGTATCGTCAATAACTGTATGTGCAATTGCTGTGGGTTCTTCTTTTGTGAAGTCGAATTGTGCAAGCACGATGAAAAATGATTACGTGCACGATCGTTGCATTGTAACTCGTGAATTTTGACGAATTATTGATGTTTCGATTATTCAGTCTCCGATTCTATAACGAACACGACTGTTTTCCGAGACTATTGGTGCTGTTATTCGCGATTTTTATTTAGTTTGACAGCTCACGTATGAAATTCGGATAAAAAATTAACGAATGAGCTGAATCTTGATATGCATATGCGTAGCATGTTTTATGTATTTTGTTTTCGTGTCCGAACCAAGTAATAATAATAATACGCTAATACGATAATAATTAGCAACGCTCGCAAAAAGCAGATTTGGAGCTATTATCATAATTTATCATTCGTTACAGATTATGTGCATTATGAATACTGAATTCTGATCCATATTTACATAGACTTTATCAATTCTTGTGCGCTTGTAATCAAAATTACATTTTGCGATACATCGAATTTTATCAGCAATGACATTTTAAGTATGACAAATACTTTGTTCATCATGTTCAATATGTGTTATTAAAATGTAAAAGAAAGACGGGAATTAAAATAATTAGATTAATTAATTAATGATATTATGTAATCGTTATGTTTCAGCACCTTATGAAGGTGGAATATGGAAAGTAAGGGTTCATCTACCAGAGCATTATCCTTTCAAATCTCCTTCGATTGGTTTCATGAACAAGGTTTATCATCCTAACATTGATGAAGTCTCAGGCACAGTGTGTCTAGATGTTATAAACCAGGCTTGGACTGCCCTTTACGGTATGTTTAACCTTTTAAAATTATATTCGGTGAAACCCTTAAATAGCGCAAGTGCAATTTTTACTTGACCATCTATTTAACTGTTTCATAAGACTCAACTTAATCTAGATGTCATTTTGAGAGAAAATTATTTCTATGTTCAACGATATATATTTCTCTCGTATCTATAAATTAAGTTTGGTCGACATGAAAATGATTCGTCTTTGTCGAGTAAATTTATATAAAATTATGAAAGATTATACCCCGATGACGTGCTCTCTTATCATTTCAGATCTGTCAAATATTTTCGAATCTTTTCTGCCTCAGTTGTTAACATATCCCAATCCAATTGATCCCCTGAACGGTGACGCTGCCGCGATGTATCTTCATAAACCAGAAGAATACAAGAAGAAAGTAGCGGGTGAGTATAATAAGCCAGTTTAATAAGTTTCCCTGTAATAAAACGCGATAGAATAAAATAGCGGATTATTATAAGAGTTCGATCGCTGCCAATCAGAGCTTGCATCTTCTTCTCAGAATAAAACTTCCTCTTGCTTCCATATCGCGTATGCGCGTGTTTTTAAAACGTCGACATTTTGTTCGCAATGCAATTTCCCGTTTCTTTTGACTTCTATCTCGACAGATTACGTCAGGAAGTACGCGACGGAGGAGGCGCTGAGGGACCAGGAAAACGGCGGCACCGGTAATGGGATGTCCTCCGATAGCGAGTCCTCGATGAGCGACTTCAGTGAGGACGAGGCGCAAGATATGGAGTTGTAACCAAATATATTACCATCCGTACCCATATCCTTAATCATCTCGATCCCTTGTAAGATCCCCGATCGGTCGTCCTACTACCAAATAGATGCTTACACCCGAGACTCCGAGCCTCACTTCTGGTGACGGCGACGAGCCCCTATTACTTGTCGTTGCTCCCGTCGTTCGTCGCTCGTACCTAACTGACTCGCATCCCCCAACAAACGAGACGGGGGGATTCCCATAACTCTCTACGAGAGTGAAAGCGACAGAAGTGAACGAGGTAAAAAACGGAGAATCGTGTACGGGGTTGTGTATTGCGCGCTCTTCTTACCGAGCGTGCATCGAGGAGCGTTTTCGATCACGATGTTTCTTACGATCCTCCGAAATTCTCTCGAATTGGTTTTATCAATCGTTTGTTGCGTTCAATTGCTACGATCATGATAACGATAACGCGTTCATCAATGCGTAATCTGTTAGCATGAGCGAAACTTTTCTTTGCAACAGAGAATCATCTTTCTTCCTCCGAGTGCGGGGGGAAAAGTAAGGAAATGAAAAAGAGAGAAAAAGAGAGAGGACCCGTTGTTTGGATTTATGAGCTCTCTGCTGCCGGTTGAGATTCGTAATGTCGATTCTCAAAATTATTCGTATCTCGGCAATTGAGCAAACGATGTGTTGTCACCTACTGTGTTTATATGCATTTCTATGTGAATTGAGAAGCGACCGAAACACAGTAATATTATCGTACGATCAAGGATTACACAGAATATATTCGTCCGGTTACATTTCTCTCGTTTTTGAGATTCTCTCGTCCTTGTTCATTTCTCGTTTCTTCTTCCGAATGCCGCAGACACGCTCATCGTTGTGATATTCGAAAACGCGTTATCGAGAGAAAGAGAGAGAGAGAGAGAGAGAGAAAGATTAAATAAAGAAGCACATCGGAGAAATGCGACACGAAAAATTTTAACAACGAGCTGACCGACCTGATTATACAACGATCGCATCTTCTCCATGGCTAACGACTCTTTTTGCTTCTATCTTAGATTATATTAGCATTTATTTAAAAAGAAGAAATTATATTTTCGCAAAAAAAAAGAGAGAAAAAAATTATTTGTTATTTATTCTCCGCGTTTTTAAATTTGAAAAATTCGTCGAAAATTGCTTAAAGGAGAGAAAAATAAATTATCTTAGCAATATTTTTCTTTTTCCTCGCAATAGATAAATAAAAAAAGCATCGGTACATATGTCAATTTTACGGTTCTCCGTTAAGACAGGTTTTTTGTTAAGCAACAGTGAGACACATAAAATGTAATGGAGTATGGGTACTAGCACCGTCTTCCTTTTCCTACCATCACCATTCCCAAACATTTCCCTCGTAGGGCTTCGCATCAGCGACCGATCGCTACGTCGTCGTCGTTATCATCGTCGTCGGGGAAAAGATCGAATCTACCACAAAAACGGCCGCACGACCGTGACACGAACGATGTCAGGATAATGCAGCCGCCATTCAAGACTGCGCGATCGTGGAATTATCTCGGGAGAATGAGTGCAAACGAGACTCTGAATGCGTTTCAAGCATCCTCGGCGTCCTGTCTCGAACTGTGCGCATCGGCCGAGCATAATGCGGAGGAGATGCAAACAAACGAACCTGCAGGACCATCTTCATCGATGTATCCATTCTTTGGAAGTGAAATGTAATAGATTGTAATCGATCCCGATGGGTGCGGATCGGATGCGATTCAACGATCGCTCGCGAAAAATTTTAAGTCAATTTGTATTATTTTAATCTCATTGTTATTTGAATTATATTATAGATTTCATTATATAGATTAATGTTATTAATACAAGGACGTATATATTAAATTAAATTAGTTTGTTATAATGTTCTAAAGAATACTTTGAAAACTTCGAATAACGGAATTGGGAACATCCTTACGTTAAAAAAAAAGAAAAACATTTAATTGCTATTGTCTCCATCTGCTATGCAGTTTACTTCGAACATTAGAATTAAAGGAAATGAAATCAAAGATCTCAGGGAATTTCTGTTTGGGAAACAAAAAAACTTGTGGTTGTAGCATCGCTGAGGTAAGGAAAACAATTCTATGAGAGATGGAAAGCACACGAGGAAAATACAAAATTTAGTTTTTATGATTGACGATATATATCAGTGAATTTTTGAATTTTCAAAAAGAACCAAGTAGAGTAAAGAATTGTGTTTGGCAGTGTAGGAAAATTGTAAAAAAAAATTTACGAGAATATAAAATTGTACAAACTTTAATGCACAATAATCTTCGCTCAATAGTATCTCGTTTCAAATTGATCTCCCTCCTTTGCATGATTTACGTGTATGCAATGCGATTACAACTATACGTAAGTATAGACGTTATATTTCAGTGCCTTCTCAGGCAGAAAAGCGTGCCTTATTATATGGGTCTCCTGTGACAAATTGCATTGGAATATATGAATGCATACGACGAGCATTTAACGCGTCAATAAATCTGAATAAAATTGATTATTTAAAGCATTGCAAACTAATATAATATGTTTATGATATGTTTATTTTCGAAATTAGAGATAAAGTAATTACATATGTGTTGAAAGCAATTATTAGCTTCACACACAATTCGATAATAATTGAAATATATAAAACGTAATTAAACAGAAACGAGAAAAACGGAAAAATGTAAAAGATTTCATTGATAAAACGATTGTCAATTTTTAGAATTTTAGATAAACACACTCCTTGGTCGCTCTCTCTCTCTTTCTCTTTATCGAATTGATGTTTGATAATTTATATTTCATAATTTTTCTATATCATGTTGTTCGCGCAAGCACAACGACCATACATGCAGTATTTACAACAATTAAATTTAAATGTATATAGTAAAATAAAAGTTATAATTTTTCAGTCAATATAACGTATATTTGCAATTTCAGTATATAAAAACTCACAGTCACAACTTTGTTCATCATAACTATAAAGTTTATATTCAGATTTTGAATGTATTATGTAACATTCGTTTATGTTACATTTGTTTTTTTTAACGTTATATTTTTTTGTTTTACAAGAGAAGACTACATAATTTATACATACAGAAAAATATATTTATCCGTAGCATCATTATATAAGATTTACTTTTTCATTAAAACATACATGATCAAGTTAGCGAATTCATTCTGTTTTCAAAATATACTGCAATGTATTCATCGAATCGAGAAAATTGTTATAGATATTAATTGAAATCAGATCATGTGATTTTTACATAATTTATTAATCATTTTAATATTTTTTTTTTAATTTGATGCTTTTTCGTGTCTTCTTTTAATCTGTGCAATTATATAGTGCGATACCTTTTTTAAAAATTCATCTTATAATTGCTTTTCATTTTATATTTATATGTCGTATTCTTCATTTAATAATTAATACTTTAATGTCTTTTGAAACTTGATGTGCAATCAATAAAGTATATATGCGTCACTTGAATGTATGACAGAAATGTACAGCTTTTATTCAGGGTGAATATTTAGCAAGGTGTCTGATGAATTATCAGTCGTACTTAGAGAAAAAAAGAACTTTGCTATTTTTTTATTCATACTGTATTTCTTCGCACACAAAAACGTGTCTCTTCTACTTTATTTTTATAAGTTAGCATAATAGCTTTACAACGCCCGCATTTTGCTAATATGATCATTTTCGCCGATAACTATTACTTTTAGATTTCGATCGAGAATTAAAAATCATTGTCAGAAAATGCGTTTGAAGTAGTCGATTGAGTTTTTGAAGTCGTACTCTCAGATCTCACATCGTTGCTAATTGTATATGTAACATATAGAATTATTGACTAGTTATACGCATAAATATATATATTATACATATAATTATATATTCGCATAACTCTTCATATTATGTACATGATTTTGCTAACGAATTGTTTAATTAAGTGATCAAATAATTTTAATAATCATTTTTTATTTTTTTTGCAAGTGTTATTTGTTTTTCCTTGTGTCAACTCTAGTAACTTATCGTGTTTTATTTTAAGTATTGGTATTCTCTTTCTATTTTTTGCTTCGTTCATTATTATAACAAAGATGAAGAATTTGTTGCTGTGGATGTAAACCGATATCAAGTTAATGCTTAGATTAATACTTATTAATATTTCGTTTTAATACAAAGATTCATTGCCTTTATTGTGTTCAAATTTTGTTGTAACATTAATGTCTAAAGACATATTTTTATACATATATTGTAATGATATAATATAGCAATATAATTCTTTGTCTCATATAATTCATTGCCATTTAATTTTTCCTGTATACATATCAATTATTTTTACAATCATAAACAACTTCTTCATAGTTTATATATCGATCTTTTAACTCTGTAGGCTACGTCGGATGTTTTATGAAAATACATGAATAATTGTACATTTAAAAGATGCAAAGGAGTCATTACGTATAACAAGAAACATAATTTATAGTGATAATAAATTAAGCTCTAGAGAATTGAAACGAGAGAATTTGAAACTACGATTATTGTGACTGATTGGCTCTTTTATATATGTGTTCTTAATATCGCACATGATGAAAATATATTTACACAAATGACAATTTTCCGATATAGAGAACAGTCGGTGACGAGCGATGCCACGTATTATATTTGCCAAAGTTATGTCAATAATTCGTAATCGTCGAAAGGCGAGGGATTTATTTTAATCGATTCTTGAACATCTGACATATATATGTTGCATATGCACATATATGATACATATGTACATTTTAAATAGACTTGTCAAAAAGTTTTGCGCTATGATATAGCCTATATTGTCTACGGTTTTTGTGCGAATTATATTTGAAATTGCAACTTCAATATAAAAGAAAGAAAAAAGATATTTAATGTCGGAGATAGAATAATCGGGTTTTTCACTGTACGATATTTAATTCAGTATAACGTTGTTTTAAATTGTGAAATAATATAGGGAGATATAGAGCGCTTATCAAAGAAATTCCTTTAAACATGGTTAAATATCAAGTATTCTTTTAAGAATTCTCTATTATATCATGAATAAAAAGGATAAATGAACGATCATTATATTCGTGTACCGCCGGCGGAGCACGTTTCTTGATTTGACGTTTCTTGTTTTCTTTGCGAAGAATCTATGCTGAATTAGGTAATCGAGGAGATGTGTTGTGATGAACGCACATTCCTCTCCGCTTTCAGATATCCTTCATCGGTGAACAAGGAAACAGCAATATTTTTGCTACTTATATGTCATAATTATATCTCATCAATGTTATTGAGCGTGCCTACAATAGCACGAGCATTTGCAATAATGGTTGATTAAAGTTGTAATAAAGATGATACAATCGTTATATTAAACCGATCGTACGATCGGAACTAGTCGTCTGACAACGACACGATGCAGTTGTATTCTCTCGCGGAATATATTTATCACTCGGCAAATTATTTATTCGCGAGCGCAATAGCAAGTTCGTTTCTCTCTACTCTATTCAGCCGAAAATGGGACTGCACAAACCCAATTATCTAATCTCCCGACTTAGATTCAGCGAGAATGATCTAGGTATTTGCCAATTAGACAGTGGACGCCGACATTGCCATGAATCAATAGTGAGATAATAATTGAGCAGCGTGGAAAACACGAGTAAAAAACGATTGCTGCTTTGATCATTTAAATGCATTTTATTTTCATCACGTTTTATTTCGTATTTATTTTTCTCCGTATCTGGCGATATAAAACTGAAACTAGAAATTCGTGTAATATTTTATTATTCGAATTTTTTCACGTGTTGAATATTACATTTTAATAATGTACTATTGCTTTGAACAATATCGGCGTTCATGATGCAATGGACGGAGTTTCACACATACACACACACACGTGAGTTATTACTACTTTAAATTCATCGATTGTGCGAGAACATACCTAAACAATTTCCATATAGATAAGCGAGACTATTGAGACATTTTTTTATGACGTTTAAATGAAATAAATAATTGCAATAAGTTTTGTACTCACATTAACAGGGAAAATGACTTCACTGCAAAGAAACAAAATTACGGATGAAAGAAAGCGAAATATGATTTAATTAAGTATTTTTCTGTGACGAAAGGAACAATACTCTCACCAACAAAAAGCTTACGCTCGCTTATACATCTGGAAATGATAAGAATTTAATATTTCAACTATGTGGTGATGAGAGACTAATGAGCAAGCATAATTAAAGGTTGGGGTACTTTCTTGGCGGTCCGCACTGCAACGTATGTTTTTCTAATTGTTATTTCTGTTTTTAATTAGAAAAACAGAAATATAATAAGAAATATAATTAAGTGTGTTTATAGAAATTAATATTATACGCAGATATATAAAAAACCTATTAAAATGACGAATAATTGGCGAACAAAAACCGAATTAAATAATAAATGAAATTTGCTATATCATTAAAAAATCAAAATTATTTGATAAATTTATTACATAGAAATATTACACACACATTGGTAACGTATTTAGACCAAATATATTTTATTACAATTATTGTACAATTTTGTAAGAACGTCGTTTGGTGCGCGCTGCGAAGAATTTAGAAGATTGAAGGATTTCAATGCTCGCGATCCTCCAATCAATCGCATACAGTGAGACGGACTCTTTTGATATAGATTTCGATATTGCTGGTAGCACACAGATCCTTTTCAAACGTAACACATGTAGCGACGTAATAAAAAACTAAGGAGTTATACTAACTCGTAGTGACGACGATCGTCATTAACTCTGCAGTAACGTTACATTTTCCCCAGTGGTTCCTAGTCACTGCCATACTTATTGACGACGATATCGTGAAGAGCGTGACCGGAGAGCTGCTAAAGAAAATTTTTGCCGAACAATATTGAGAAAAAAAGAATAAAAAAGTATATCTCTTAATGTGTTCGAATTATTAGCTGTTAAAAGTTCTCGAGAAAAAAATTGGCACAAAGATTGTTGTACTGCAGGGTTTACGGGGAATCGACGAGATATTCGTTAATTAACATTGGCAAAGTAAAGCTTTATAAATTAACGTAGTGTGATGATGACGATGACGATGGAGTTTAGAACACTTGTTCGGAGGATTTGTTCGGGAACTGTTTCTATGTTCCATGTACAATCGTGAAGATCGAATTATTGGTGTCTGTAGAGGTACATATATTTTCTTACGGTATATATATGGTAATTAGCGCTGCTTCGGCTCGTGAAGGACCCGTTCTTCTTGAATTGGTCGTAATGTCGAATCGAAGAAAAAAAGTGAGATTTCAGAAACGAAGAAAAAAAGTGAGATTTCAGAAACGATCATATTTACATCTCGTAAAGTAATACAATAAAATCGTTCAGGACTTTTTTTTTTAATTCTATAATGTTTAGCGATTTCATTGCAATATCCTTAAAATTTTTGTAAACCAGTGAAGATTGAGAGTTAGATTTGAATTCAAATTGGAGTCATTTTAGAAATTCATAAAATGTATTTTTTAAGTAACGTTTCAAAATATAAAAAATTGTGTAAAAGATTATAAAAACAAAATATTTAAATAATACATGGTCCAAAAATATGGTACAAAATAAAGTAGGATGTTTTAAACATTAATTTCATTTAATATTTAATAAATTTAAATTCAAAAAATATTTAATATAAAATATATTCTTTAATTGATAGGATTATGACAGCATTATTTTTAAAAGAGTCTTTATAAATAATAATAAACATACAAATTTACGTAATTGTGATGTAATTATGCAATTGTGTAATAATTTCAAGCATAGATTTATCTTTTTGTCGAAGTTAGAAAAATGATTTATTTTTGGACTTATGCTTCATACAGATCCATGAAATAATTCTAAAAGATCAGTGAAATAATTCTAAAAGACGAATTTAAGGGAACGGGCGCCTCAAAGCTAGATGTAAAATTTTCTTAGGTACCTATTGTTTCGATGTATGAATCGTCTATGTAAGATGCTGGTACTGTTAGAAACAAAAATGTTGACGACGAGTATGCCGAGAGAATAGAATATCTCGAGTAATCCGGCCTTTTCGAAAAAAAAAAACAAGGATGAGACAAAAACAATTCGACGATCTGTAACAGATCGTTTTAACAGACAGATTTCCCAAATCTGACCAATCACACAGAATGTCTTTCTAGTGTTAACACATGACGATGATTACGAACTCGCTGAAAATTCGCGTTCTCATGGTTCATGAACACAATAAAACAATGACAAACAATGAACATTACGCTATTACAAATATTTATTATATATAAATAAGATATAACAAATATAAATATATATAAATATATTATATTGAATTAACGATGATTGAACAAGATGCAATTTTTTGGTACAATAAAATGAAAAGAACCAATATTGTCCGAGTGTTATTGAAAAATCCACGCATGTACATGTTATATTGATTATGTTTATAATATAATTTTTCTTTTATAATTTATGTATATATGTGTATATATAAATACTCACATTTCTCTGTCACTATAGATCAATCTTCCTTATAATTTGAAAATTATGATAAACTTTATACTTGTGTATTTTTGATTTTAATTTCCAGATACGATATTTATTCATGGAATTAATCACGATACAATATCTTAAAATAATTTATATAGTAAAGTATTGTACAATGATTGTGAAATATCCTATATATGTTGTGTGTGTGTTTATTCTTATATATAATCTGTATTCTAAAATCTCTATATTATCGATGAATGCTTCATTTATGTATGATTCTAGATGGTTTCTATTAATTGTATTTGTCATTTATATACATTTAAGTCGAAAAATGTGCAATTTACATGTAAGTAATCTCTTTTTTATATAATTCTTATATTCACAAAGGAAATTTTTATTAAGATAATCATGCATTTCATACTCGACATGTTTAAGTATATACAATTTAAAAAAATTTTTTTAATTTTCTGATATAATTTTTTACCGGATATTACTTAATCAAATCGCTATTTATTTTAAGATTTGTGTTTCTAGATATCTAAATCGAAAGGACAATTTATTTCTGTATTTTCATTTGAAAGCTAAGATGTTTTTCAATTGCTATATCGTCATCGCGCATCAAATTATATGTAATTACATACCATGACATTTATTTTAATTTCCGCAAAGAAACTGCTTTAAATATTTCACGATAGAAATGTCGTGTCACGTATCATTGGATAGTCATCGAATTAATTTGAATTAAATGAAAAACAAAAAACAATTGAAAGTTACATTATATTGCGATCGATTAGATTGTTTGGCGATGTTGCTATTTTTCTCGAAGTCAATATATGATTCATGATTTACATATCTAGAAGCGAATATCTATTCGTTCAAAACTGATGCAATTTATCAGAGAACTCACGGAATCTGATCCGATATGCAATATTATCTTAAATTGCAATTTGTCATGATTAACACAATCAAGCCTCACAGCGATCAATCTTTAAAGGTGCGGCCTCATTGACGCTAAAAAGTAGCGTCAACCATTGGTTGAACAAGGAGGTAAGTATAGTTGCTTCATTGTTCAACCAATGGTTGACGCTACTTTTTAGCGTCAATGAGGCCGCATCTTAATGCGCAATCCAACAAACTTTTGCACGCATCTCAGAACGCGGCATGCATCAACCAATCATCGTCTACTGAGTGCCATTATTTCCGGAGAAGCGCAACGGATTGGTCACGTGCATAGACATATAAAATATATAGATGGGCATTAGCCATTGAAATCGCAAGTATCAATAGTGAAAAAGCAACAAGTTGTCACGTCTAATAAGCCCGTGTTTTTATACCGTATATTTGTTCATTTTATGAGGTATTATTTTACTATTATTATTTATTATTATACAATTTTGAAACAAACAAATTTTTAAATATTATATATAACATACATACATACATAAATATAAATTTATAAAAAAATAGGTGCCTATTAGCCTTGTTGCATTACTGTTTTCTGCTAGAAAGCATTTTCAAGCTATACCTTGGATAAAGCGATACGTTGAAAGAACAAGGATAATGTGATCCTCGATCCTTTCTTATCTTTCCTCTCTACAGTGCACGCGACAATGTAATCGTGCGTGCATATGTGTATGTACATATATGGACATACACTATCATCGAAATTGAAAATTTATTTCTCAGCGTTGGTAACCCTGAAACCGGAGTTTCGCACTGTCACCGTGCGAGGTCTCCAACATCAATTCGGAGCGTGTCATTTTTGTCGACCTTTAAATTGATAAATAAATCCAATATGTCCCGCGTGTTATTGTATCATTTTTATTGTTAAATATCTAAGAAATGTTTTTTAGATGTCAAGATGATATAATGTAAAAGGAGACGGAGATCCATCCAAGAATATACACGTCTCCTAATTCCGGGCCCGATGTTCTATAGGATAATATATACGGCTCACTTCAGTGTACTATAGAGGTCAATCGCGGCGGCACTGGCGGTAGTCGTCAGTCGTGTCGGGACCACCGAGCGGTGCGGACGTAGTATCACGTCGTGCGTGTCAACATCGTTGTTTCGATCGCGTACGTGCCAGTGACACTTGGCGGTTGCTGCCCGCGGAGAGAGACATGCAGGATCGACGCTGAGAGATACATATGTATACGCACGTCACGATACGTCACAGTATGTAAATCTGCCGCGTCGATCGCCGATTGTCGCCGTTGACTTATCATCGCACGCACGTACTCGAGCACGCACGCACGCACGCACTTTCCCGCGCATACACGTATTCACGAAAAGAAAAAAAAATATATATATACACACACATACACACGCATACGTATCATTACACCGATCGCCGGACCGCTTGTAGGCGACTGCTCGTCCACCCAGCCTTCGAGACCGATCATCGATCGACCGATTATCCGCCTGTCCGCCCGTCGTCATCGTCACTCCTCGCGCGAAGAAGAGCTGCATCTCCTCGGCACGAATATCAGGAGACGGAAGTGCATCGGCGTTTTCACTCGTACGTGCATACGAGCCGAGCGGGCTGTGCGACGTATCGGACTTTTGTTCCGGGAGCGATCTCGATTCATCGACAGCGCGCGGAGCTGGGCGAGGAGTCTGCGGCCGTCACCGCCGCCACCGCGAGGAAGTGAGTAAACACTTTTTATATTTTGTTTCTTTTCCTCGCGCGCCCGTTGCTCGTCGTCGCCCGCAGCCCGAGAGATACGCGGCTCACAAAGTGCAGTCCTTGACTTCCGATAAATCGATTTCGCTCGCGCGTTTTAACGAGTAACTTGAGACGTCGATGGAGATTGTCGCTCTTCCTTCCTGCGATACGCGAATGTAAGCGGAAGTGGAGAAGGCTTGGTTTTTATTCGCGGCGAAAATTATCGCGGTGATATTTTTATGCGATATTCGCATGCGTATTTAGCCGTTTCATTAAGTCGTCCGGCGAGGAAGATGCTGTGTTTTTTTTTCTCGGCAGCTGTTGAATCGAAAAAACACAGTGCCTTTCGATAGTGATTTATTTCTATTGATAAATACTGCCGGCGTCTTCGTCGTCTGCGGAATATCTGCTTGAATGAATAAAGACGCATCGAATTCCGAATCGAATCTTTCTATGCACCATATGAATTTCTCAACGAATTCGTGGAATATGATTGCGCGAATGGAAAGACCGGATCTCTCAATTATCGGAGGCCAGCAAGGCATCTTTCCGCGAATCCATTCTGTGTTTTTCTCTCTCTTGTTTTTTTTAATTTATTCTTTTATTGAAACTGTTACATCTTTAGGCATAGAAATGATTGTTCTTTTAAGAATCAGAATGTCAAAAGCTATAATCGGCGCGATTAAAAAAATTGACATTTTTAAAAATTTATTCTTTAATATTTTCCAAAGATAAACGATTCTTCTTGTATCAGTATTTTTATTCTTGAAAAATCGGAAGAAATGTAGATATTAATGTTATGCATTTGTGGAATTTCCTAATGTTTAAACAGAATTTAGAAATCCATATCTCAATTAAAAGAGGAAGTGATCATGTAATGTCTTTTATATAACAGGACTTAATCTTTGAAATTAAAAAACGTGACGAGGGAAGAGGAAGGGAGGATAGAGAGAATATTGATGATATTTCAAGTGTGCATTTCCGACTTTTCATGTTTATCGATAGTATTTTCGGCATGTTCATCATCACGTACGTAATTCGTGAGCACGTATAACAGCCCGAATTTGACACGTATGTAAAATCTTAGTTTGCGAGTGTAAGAAATATTTATGTTTCGTATTCAGCGTTGCACGCTTATTGTTAGTTGTTTTGTTGATATAGTAGCTCCTGCATATGTATGTGAGCATATATATATGCTAGCTTTCCTGATAACACGTCAATGAAAACTAAATGATTAGGTAGTCATATTTACTCTGAACGTAACAAAACAAAATAAGGTCAACTTTTTTCCTTCATCGTATATTTTTCGAAAAATAAAGACCAGAACGCTAACAAAAACAAACTTGCAAATTGGAATCATATATTTCTTAAAAAAATATAAAAGTAATATAATATAAAATATAAAAATGTTAAATATAAAAATATTTAGTAAATATAAGATGACAACACATAATTAAATTATCATTGTTTTATAATGCTTTTATTTGATAAAATTTGACAATTTTACGTAATTATATCTTCAATACATGTGTTTCAATTTAAAATTTTGCTGCTGTAAGTTAATGTTATTATGTTGCATATCACAAATAAAAGTATCGCATTATCATTAATAAAAAGTATCAGCTAAATCAGCTGACATTGGAGATTACCACTGTCAACTTGTAGATGATATAATTCTCATTTTCTTTATCATATTGTGCAAAATACATTGTGTATTTAATATTCTTAATTAATTAATATTTTTACAAAAAAATTAGCAATCCTTTTTTGAAAAATATATCTTCTACAAGTAAAAGATTTGATTAAAAAAGAACCTCAATAAAAGTAAATCGTTTTCAAATATTTCTTGATAGAATATTTTTCGAATAAAAAGATGCAGGAACACACTTATATAACTTCTGTATGATTATTTTGATCCTGGGGTCTACGAGTATCGATTGGACATATCCGGAATGATAGTTCGACAAGTTTTCATCATGACATGAAGTTCTCCATAAAACGGATATAATACTTCATTGACCAACCAGTTGGGTCATACATGCTCCATAAATTCCCTCCACGTCCCCCCTCTTTTCGCAAGGTTTAATGACATTGGCGGACGAATAGCGTATTGCTTCCTCTTTTACATATCCGGGTTCAGATAAGGTGAACTGAGAATAACGTAAGAGTTTTTAGTGAAACATTTTGCGGCAAAAGCGAAGTAAATATTCCATAAATAAAATATTAGTAATCATGTTACTAAAAGAATAATTCCTTTTTTGAACTGAAAATTATGTATATATCATATATAAAATATATAAATTTTATTTTTAGATTAAGTTTGTGATTATATGGTATTAATTATATTTGCAATATTTTTATACTATAAATTTTTGTAATTGCATTATAATAATAGAATTGTGGTATTAGATGTTAAATTATAATTGCAGAAAGAGATGTGAATCAATCTTATTGTTAGAAAAATATAATAGTTCCAATGTTTTGCAACATAATTGTCGCACACATTTATTTGCGTTATGTGTACAATTTCATGAACAAGGAAATAATGCGCGAAATACGAAGTGAAAGGTATAATTTAAAAAAAGCTAAATGATTTTGATGCATTTTATCGCTTGAGCATATTTTTAGCGCGGCATACATTCTTACGTTACGGTTTCAAGGTTGATTTTACCTCAAGGATGATAATCCCAAATGGAAAAAATATCACACGCTGTACGAATAAATATATCTCGTTTAAGGAATACAGAATTAACTTTTTCAAAAAGTCATCAGGCACGTTTCAGTATATTTCTTATATTGACATTTTTAATGTCATAACATGGCAATATTTTCAGTTATTTGTTCAAAGTGAATAATCTCAAAGATGTTCCTGAAGAAGTAAAAAAAGAGCGTGTTTTTTTCGAGATATGCACATGATTCTTGTCATTATGCATAATATATTCATATGTATAATGCAACAGATTTGATTTCTATGACAGCGTGATATCTTTAGCTCGATATGAAATAATTTATTCGCGCGAAATCCGAAAATTACAAATAATTATAAATATACTTCGGTGTCGATCTTTCGGGGAAATCACGACGGAGAGAGACGTGTAAGACGGTCCCGATGAGGATCGTCGCGAGGATAAACTGTTGGATCTTGTAATACGAACGCGAATTGTGACATCCCGTTTCTCAGCTCCGTGAGAGTCTCGGTTGCGTAATTCATGAAAACCCGATATCTCTCCCTGCGTGAAATTGAACACCGCGCATGGCTTTTGGGGGCAATCCGAGGTCAAGGTGCATTGTAGGCCGTAATGCGTCAGGTTAAACCTTAGTCTCGGTTAACGCGTTGCATACCAATCATGGGATAAGCTCGTTGCACTTGTCGCGATGACGGATACGTAAGCTGCATTCCAAAAAAACGAAGTATGATAGCAAGTGTTATGCATCGTAAAGTTGTTGTAATGCTAAAGCTATCATTATAATTCATTCAATCTTTTAATTTATCGATATTCGTAACGAAGTGGTGTTTAATTATGACAACTTTGCCGACAGCTCTTCGGAATATATAATAGCTGTTTAATTTTTTTTTAGCGAATCTCTTGATCGAACGCCTTTAGATTAATACTACTTGAGCAGAAAATTGCATTTACTATCTTCCTTGTTAGTTTGCAGTCCGCGATATCGCTAAAAATATGGAGCTTCTTTTATGATAATACGGAAACTATACCAAAAGAATTACACGATTACATCTACACGAGGATTCTTGCAGAGACACTGTATGTGTAATAATATAGTATGTGTGTTTGGGATCGTATTAGATGTCGTCGTTTAATAACAGCGTTTTGTTCAGTGAATAATGGTAGAGTGGATAGAATTGCATGTCCTCTCTTATCGCGATGCAACGATACGGTTTCATTAGACGATATTGATAGTCAATTGGCAGTTTATTGTCCGACGGTTGTATTGTTTGAAGCGAGAACGGAGCAAATATCTTTGCTCGCTTTTTCGTTGCATTATACAATTAGTATAACTATTGATATTTTTGCGGATATCGCATAAAGAATCAAAATTCTTGCTTTTGAATAGAAAATTTCTGTATAAAAGTTGATCGCGATATTTATTTTAATATTTAATACAAATTAAAGATTAAAATTGGGAAGGAATAAATAAGTAAAATTTTAATAAATATGTTGAAATCAATTTATAGAAATAATTAGTAATATCATTGTGGAATAGCTTGATAATATGCGATACAATTGAATAATGTGAAAGAATATTATGTAAAATTATAATATGATTGATATTCATTGTATTAATATTTTAATTTATTATATTTATAATTTATATTAATATTTATTATAACAGAATTAAAATAAAAACAAATTTTTTTCATGTATGTAATATTTGAACAAAAATTCTATCCATAAATATGAAAAATGATCGCTTTTTTATATATCTATGAAAAGAATATATATTTTTTCATAGATATATTAAAAAAGCGAAAATTTTCTATATTTATGGACAAAATTTTTGTTGAAACGAATAATAGCATGTGATACCGTCGGAAGTAAAGAGATTCTCGTGTATCATGCAATACGTAATATTATCTGCACGTGACAGTTATTGTTTTAATAATATTTTAATGTCCCTGCAATGCAGAATCTTCAATGATAACTTTTTTTACGCAGTAGAAGATAGAATCATGCATTGCATAGCACTGTTATCAATACATAAAATGATGCTTTAACAAAATTTATCGCTCACAATTAGTGCACATCCTAGTATATGAAAGAATATTATATGTATACATATATACATATATAGTAATAGACCGTAAAATTATCTAAAATGCTTATTGCGATATCTTGCAATTTGTTATATGGATGTTATTTTTTTAAAATATTTCCTATCTCATGATAAAAGCCAACACATTCGCTATTTCTCATAATTTTGTTTGCATAAACTGCAAATTTGCATAATATACTATTATATTACTCATGAAATTGTTACACTTGGAGTTTATACAATTTTTTTATAAATATATTATACAAATATAATATGTAAATATTTTAAAAACATACGTATACATAAAATATATATAATACGAATTTTTAATATTTTTGAATGTATATGATGACTATTATAAATCAGATGAGTTAATTCGTTGCATTTTCGTATTTAAAAAATATAAATTTCAATTATTAATATCTATTAATTATTATCTATTAATTTATTATTATCTATTAACTATTTACTAATATAAGTTCTTTAAGAAACCTTCTCTAAGAATCTTTATGTATTTTGCAAAATTAATTTTGTCAATTTCGTTTCGCTGTATTTTACCAAGATTTTTTTCAGAGTTAAAATTTTAGAGAGATGTTCAAATATTTAACGATATACTTGATGTAGTACGATATCAGAAATTATTTAAATCTTTTTTACCTAAGATTCGATGTATATATATTAATATAAATTGATAACAAAAAGAAATAACTTCATTTTTTCAAAGAAATAGAAATTATCGCAATGAATTTTTCAATATATATCTTGATGTTTATTAACTTTTGTTAATGTTTTTGTGGCAGGATTAATTTTTTTTACGACTGAAACTCATCGACAAAGAAACATGCATATAATTCTTTCTTATGTTAGTAGTTTTTCTATGAATGAGATCCAAAAATAGCATACGTCTGCGAATGAGGTAACCGTGAGATAAGCGTGTCTTTACATAAAGCAATCGATAGTGTTTTTGTACGAATTGAACACATTGTGCCGCGTTTTAAAAATATATGTTGCTTCTTAAATTTTTAGAACTTTAAGTTAAAATATGTTTTACATATATTCTTTTAATGAGTTCTTATTTTTTTAATAATACGAATAAAATTATATTTATGCATTCAATGTAAAGTTTTCAAAAATGTAATATCTAAAGTTCTGATGCATATTTAAAAATCTTAAAACTAAAAAATCTTAGAACTAAAAAAATAATGGTTAAATAATAAATAATTATATTGATCTTTTACCAGTTTTTTTCTGTATAATTTAGATTATAGTTTGTCAAATGATTATTTACACACATATAATATCATTTGTTTAATCGATTTTTTCTGTAAAAGAAAACCTGGCCGATAGTCATGCCTGTAGTTATGGTTGTTTACATGTACGCTAAGGTTAAGGGTCAATTTAATTCAAAGGATTACAGAGTTTATTGTTAGACAAAGTATCTCTCTGTTAGAAGATTGAAATAAGTAAATTTTATCGAGACGCTTTCGATTTATCGGTGAATTATTTCCAGGCGATACTGATAGGATTTCATATAAGATATGTATTAGTTTTAGTTTTCGATGAATCGGTAGGATTTGATCTTGCAGATAACTAAAGACTTTTAATTACTAAGGTAATTGTTGATCATGCATTTTAATTAAAAACTTGCAATTATGAAAATTGAGATTAAGATCTTTATTTAGCGCTGAATGGACGACTCGATATTCGAAGTGTTATTTATCTGATATAAAACTTGCATTCAATAAATAAATGGGACAAAAATCGGGTATAGATGCTATGATATTAAGTATTTATCATATATTTAAAGATATGAAAATTAAGATACGAGGAAAACTAGCCTGATTGTCGTGGGAAATAAATAGCTTTTAATTACTACGCACGCAGTAACGTCGTAATATACTATGCGATTAATATCCATTCCGTGTGTTCAGTGGAAAATATTTCTGCTCACATTGATGAGAGAGAAAAGAAAAAATCTCACGATTCGCGTTTATCGTCCCATCGCGGATCTATTAGAGAGATAACTTCATCTAGCAATTTGCAGTGGCACCAGTGAGCAATTAAGTCTCGTTCTTTGTTGCATTTATACGATTTAGCCTGCATACCATGTTTCTACATCCGAAATGATTCACATAACAAAGTTTTCCAATAATATTTTTTTTCTCGATAAACTGCTATTCGGATTTTAGATTAACTCATATTTAATTAAGTGGTGCCAAAATGCAGCATGCGAGATCAAAGATTATATGTACAATTGAAATATCATAGACACGAATACGTTAGAGAAATATTTAGGTACTCTGTTTTTATGGAAAATACCATATTTATTATTGCATTTTTGACATTGGTATTATATTTTTATTCTTTGAGCTAAATGTGTATTTCTTTAAGCAAATAATGGTGGAACATTTATACAAAAATATCTTTCATGTATCTGCATTTTAATTAAAATTTAATAAAATAATTTTTTTTGCTTTGATAAGAGAAATATGTTTCCTTATTATTTATATATAATCTAAATAATAAGGAAACAAATATTTTCATAAAAATATTACATTTTTCTGATATATATTTTATTGTGTTATTTATATTAACATGGTATTACCTATAGAATTTTCCATGGTATACATTTTTAAAGTTACACACGAAATTTGTAAATAATTCTCACAATTTCTTTATAGATATACAATTGTCGATCATTAAGAACACATTTTCATTATTATTTTATCGGCTAGATAAAACATCCCAACAACATTGTTGGGAAATAAAAAAAGAGAAAGATATGTATTCTACGTATGTTTCTTTTATTACATAATCCAATTGGAAGCGATTTCGTTATCTATAACTTGTATTCCCTTCGGTTTACTATAATGATTTATTTCGTTCTTCTAGGCATAGCCATGAATAATTCACTCAGTTAAAGTGGCCAACACAGGAGTTTCTTCGACTTTGAAGGAGACTAAAACAACGGCATTGAGATGGGTGAGCTTTTAGGATCCGCGAGCTTTCTTCACCTCGGCGATATCGTCAGCCTCTATGCCGAGGGAAATGTATCCGGGTTTCTTTCCACATTAGGGTAAGTGAAAAATGAGTGAAAAATAAAATTTCTTACGGCTCATACCTGTCACTTAAGCACCACAACGTGGCAGCTTCTTTAACACGACCTACACTATCAAGAGCTTTTTCTCGTGAGAAAGTGACGGTAATTTTTTGTTTGATGTTTATTTCTTCAAAAAAGCCCAGACAGTAGAGAAAAATATCAAAGAAATTTTAAATACATACAGCTATAAACGAATCGTATCAATCGAAAATAACTTTTCAATAACTCTCGACTTAAAAATTTTTAATTTAAAATTTATATTTAATATGTTACACGATGAATGTAAAATAGAAAATTGTCGACACAATTTAAGATGTTAATACATCACATATATTAAATAGGAAATATTGTAAAACTACAAAAATGATTGGAAAATTTGATTTTTGAAAAAACTACAAAAATTAAATTTTCCAATCATTTTTCATAGATTTTTCATAAAATTTTTCTTCAGAAGAAAGAAATTTAATTTTTTCTAAACATACAATTTTTCAAAATTTTATATATTATTTTTAAACAAGAACATGTTAATGTAAAAAATCAATAGACATTAGAATTTATTTATTGTTAGTAGCCAAATTGTCAGATTGTCTTGTAACAAGCATTATTATATTTCTAAGAGATTCGTGGAGATTCAAACATATTGAAACATACCTCAATGGTTTACAGCATCAAACAACTTTAAAAGCCAGATTTTCTTATGAAATCTAGATCCTATTTACATTTCTAGCAACGAGTTCTAATCTTAGATATTTATCTATTCGAGATGATTTGCATCCATTCAAGATTATTGACTATTATTTCCGTAGTTCTCCATATCCATTCTATTCTTTCCAGAATATTACATAGCTTTACATCAAAAGCATGGTTGAAGTTATTTCATTTGTAACTTCCATGATTTTTAATGTTTATTTATATCATTGTTTATTAAAAATATTAAATATGCATAAATTATTGATATTTTATAAAAATAATTAGCGTTAAATATCGGCATTTTATGTGGATGCTTACTGATGATGTAACATCTAGTTATTTAAAGAGATGTTCATTAATGGCGCGTCTGTTTTTATGAAGGCTATCTACTTTTTTAAAATCATGTATAATAGTAAAGAAAGAAGAGATGAAAAAAGGATTTATATTCTTCTAAAATTAAGCTACAAATTAATTGCAGAATATTAACATATCTCTTTCATATCTTTCAAGTTTATTACTGCCTGGTTTGCCGAGGAGAGATTTTGCTAATTTCATATTTTTTATTATATAAACAATAATGATTACACAGTTATTTATTGTGTTGTATAGTTTGTCGCGTTTTATGTTTTATGTTTATATTGCGCAGATTTTAGCGATATAATAGTTTCGTAAAAATTTGCAGTAAGTAGATTTGTATCACAGTATTCTTTTTTTTTCATATAACAAATATTACACACAGAAACGAGATTATATTTGCTTATACAATATTTGTTTATTCGTTATACACTAGTATGACACACAAACATAGAGAAAAATTGATCTCATACGTATTGTACATATATTCTAGTCAGCTTACGTATTGATGTATTAATAGAAAAAAATTTTTATTCTCAGAGAAATTATGCATAAATTATTTGCAATATATTTCACATCTCTATTAGATATTCTCACACAGTTTCAGAAAATTGCAACAAGTGTCAACTCAAGTATAAAATCTTGGTTAAAGAAGCATTCGAATTTTTAAAGAGTTTGTCAAAAGAATCAGTTAAAATATATATATATATATATATATATATATATCGTTTTTTTTTTAATATGTAGTTAAAAGTAATATCCGTTAAAAATTTGTACACATTTATATACTTTTAATCTATAAAATTTCTTTATTTACTTTTCAAATCTATATGTACATTCCTTGCAAAAGTAATATTTTCATGATTGTTGCGAGTAATTTACGTATAAAATTTATTTCGTGAAATTTATATAAATAGAATAAATATATACACATTTTATATTTTATAATCGTGCAGTAAAGTTTTATTTCTGTCATTAAAGAAGATCGCGTATCGCGCTCTTCTAAGTCTTCTTTGTCCATGTTTTACGTTAAAGTGCGCAACACGAGAACTTTCAATTATAATTTGACGTTTTTAGCGAGGGCGGCTCAGCTGCACGGGCGATTTCACAGCCTTATAACGTTAACTGTATCTGTTATTTTGTGCAGAGAAGTTTCATCTTTCTCGCTAAGTCTAGTTCCACAGCTTATTTTAAGTTAACTGAAGTTTAATTCGTTAAAGGAGAATTTACATTGCGTCCAATGTCCGATGTATGACGTCCGATTGGATGCAGTGGATTTGGGACGCAATGTAAATCCTCCTTTAATAAATTAAAACTTCGGTTAGAGTAAGTTGTGAAACTGGACCGAAGAGAGATTCGCATCTAAAAGTGTAAAGTTTCTTCCGTATTGCGTTCTCCCGGGGATATTAAAGCGAATGCCGCGCGTAGGTCCTACGTCAATATAGGTTTCGCAGGCAGGCGTATTATTAAATTCGCACCTGCGTATAAGGCTCGCGATCGATGAGCAATTATTTCATCCGTCTTTAGCAACGTTGTCATCGTCGTAGCTGCTCGTGTATGTGGATGTGTATTACACGCGCACTGATGAACCCGACAAGCCGACGTCACACCAGGTAATAAGGCGAGATCTCTCTCTCTCTCTTCCTCTCTCTTTGATATCGCCACTGATCTCGCGTACTCAACTGCGCAAATTTTTCCCAAGAGGATACGCGTTGTTATCGGTAATACCTTTGAACCGATAGCTTCGATCTTGTCCTGATTACGAAATACGGATGAAATAAATGCCCAGAGAGCCGCAATAAACGTTGATGTCTGTATTGATTGCTAATGTGAATATAACTATCCGCGGAATATTAGTTTTTGTGACATTTTTTTTCGCTGATGGCTATTATTCTGTTTGTTTAAAAACATACTGGAGAATTGCTTTTTCAGCGACTAAAAAAAAGCGATTTCGCACACGTGCATCAGCATACAACGAAACATTTTAACAAATTTAGAGCATGTCAATTCTATCAACGTCAATAAGTAGCCATGACAGAAACAGTCTTAATTTTAGCAGCATTTTACAATATTTACATTTTTAGCCATTCGTATATTAATTTGGTAAAAAAATAATAAAAAAAATCGCGTATTTTAAAATATGCAATCTTTTTATTATTCTTTTACCAAATTAATATATGAATGACTAACAAAAATGTATCCTGTAAATTACTTATAAAAGATATTTATCTCGAGAGAAATGGTTTATGTAAACTTTTATTTATTCCCACAGAGGATTATTTGTGCATATTGACATATGCATACATGTATGACAAAACAGATCAGATATGTATTTAATGCAACCTTTAACCCATGAAATCGGATTGCAGCGTCGCTTCTATTTTTTTTTTATTTCTGTTGTTGCGTGTTATTGATATGCGCTTATCTAATTTTGAGAAAATATATTTCGATTGATAAATCCACGAATATTTTTGCAAAACAGCTAGATCAACGACAGATGACAGTCAGCGCTAACGTGTCGAGTTAAGAGTTAGATACGTTATTTTTTTAGCAAAGGCCGACAGCTACCATTTAAATTCAATGTATGTCAGTCAATGTTTATAAAATTTCATTTCGATCGTGAAAAGGAAGTCATAGCGTGTGTGAAAAGTTCGCGACGAGGAAACGATAAAAAAAATGAAAGAAAAAGATAGCCTTTTGTATAACTAATCTTGCATGAGAAAGTGTGTTTTCGAAACCACGGTATATTTTCGGATGCTGCACAAGGCGGCCAGGGGTCCATCACTCGGGCCCCATCCTCGTAATTCGTCGCTCGCTGTTTCGCGGGCGTTTTCAGAAGTCTCACTCTCATACTTTATCGTCCACATGGCTTTTTGATGTTGCGGAATATTTGGGATAAATATTCTCTCGATGATCCGCGAAAGGAGCAGCAGGGATCCATCCATTAAGCGCATTTTGACGCTGCATCATGAAAGTAGGTTACACACGTTTCGCCTAGTTTGTTCTCGTACTTATGAATAAATGCTGCTCTCATATTCAAGTAAAATCGGATCATGTTTTATTGGAAGTGGATGGAAGCGGATTTAAAATAGAGCCATCTGAGATAGAAAGAGATCGGTTTTGACATATTTATATTAGTAAAATCAGAAAAACAAATTTTATAAGCTCAAGATTAAATGAAAATAGTAGATACGATAATATCGATGTCACACTAAAGTTGTCGTAATCTCTTCTTTGTACAGATAATTTATATTTTCAAAGCAGAAACATTTAAATATGTTTATTTAAGCCACAGTTTTTTAAAGTTTTATTTGGTATACAAGTCTTTGGCTGAAAGTATCCATATTTATAATTTATCATCAAAATGCGCATCTTTGATTCCTCTTTATTCTGGGAAGAAGCTTTTGGGCTTACATTCTTCCAGCTTCTCAACTATACAAACAGATAATACTTGTATCTACGCTTAAAGTTTTATGAGGGCATTTCCATTGACTGGCGGCTCTTCAAGTCCCCTTAAACGTTTAGATTTATCATGATTAATATTGCGTATGCAAACACATACGAGAGACGCGGTTGCGTGCCTCCTTTCACTCCCTTAATTACCGCATTCCATTGCAACATACGTGCAGATACAGAATTGATCAGAGATGTATGTGCGTTTATGTGAGAGAAAGAGAGAGAGAGAGAGAGAGAGAATTTTGAAATCTGCGTGATTCGGTGTATGCTAATGAAAAGCCTCTAATTTGTGGCTCGATAAATGCGTCGGCGCACGAAATCATTGATAATAATGATGTGAGTATATATCGCGACTGTAGAGAGCTGTCCAAGATATATACTTACTTACTTAACGACGTCGATGACGGGACTATTTCCAGAAGCACGATTATAACCGTGATGAGATTGCTCTTATTTTTTAGCCACAAAGCAGGTCG